GGGGAGCTCCCCCCTCCGGCCTGAGCAAACCTGTCACCCGGCGTCACCTCGGCTGCGTAGGGACCTTCTTAATATCAATTAAAGACCACGGTGGTAGCCGATATAAACTGCTGTCCACAAACGCGCTTGTGATGATGCCTAATGAATTATTATGAGTAATTAAGCCTCAGGCTCGAGGGGTTTTGGTCACAGTTTGGCTTTACCACAAGGACAGGAGGCCGCAGGCACACCTGTCACCCGGCGTCACCTCGGCTGCGTAGGGACCTTCTTAATATCAATTAAAGACCACGGTGGTAGCCGATATAAACTGCTGTCCACAAACGCGCTTGTGATGATGCCTAATGAATTATTATGAGTAATTAAGCCTCAGGCTCGAGGGGTTTTGGTCACAGTTTGGCTTTACCACAAGGACAGGAGGCCGCAGGCACCAGGTTGCGGCTGTGGCCGGGGGGGCTGCGGGCGGCAGAGCCGGGAGCGGCGGGAGCCCGGCTGCATTGGGAAGATCCCGCGATCCATGGGCCAGGGAGGCCCCGCAGCCCCCAGGGGAGAGGGTGACTTTGGGAGGCTGCGACCCGGTTACCATAGGGACAGCGCCGGGAATTTCATCCCGGGGCTCTGTCAGGTAGCGACTCCTGCTGAGGAATCATCTCCGTTTTGAAGCTTTGTGTTCCGAATATCCAGACACCAGAAAGTGTCATTCTCTGCCTATGCTGCATAGACGACGATTCTCATTGCTACGGGGCTTTCCTTCAGGCTCTTGTGCACTTCAGCCGCTCACTGCAAATTGCCAGGCACGCAGAAGGGTAATGCACAAAACACATAAATGTAAAAGGTTTAAGAACAAAATTTTCACTGATTTCCATGAAATGGACGTCACAGTAATGCAAAGTAGTCTTTAAAAGATTACCTGAAATGTGTAATCGCAGTCAACATGAATGAAATTTTCATGTTTGACTTCTCACTTTGCTTCTTATGAAACTTACGCTTGAGCATGTTATTCCTCTAGCTAGAGTTATTGCAAGATTATTTTTAATGTGTAGTATGTAAAGACTTAGCTTACTGTGCAGCAATTTCCCTTATCCCCAGGCGAGATCAGAAGTTACGGGGCACTTGGAGCTGCGGCTGTCCTGGGTTTACCTCGTGCTAAGAATACCCACACGGGGCACGAATGTACAGCGTGTTATTGAGCAGCTTTGCAAAGCATTGGTTGATCTGCTCTAACCTCAAATGGGAGTACCAAAGCAAAATGAAGCTGTGATTTTTGAAATGCAGAATTACTGAAATATCGACAGCTTTTAAATATTCATTTGTGTAGTAAAATAGTGTATTTTTCTTCATTTATGTTCTTACAGGTCTCTCGATTGCTAGGTGCTTTCAAAAACCAAAAACAGGTGACCAGAAGTTTTGGTAGCGCTGTGAGTATAATAGTACCATTCTTTTCTTTTAAGAAGTTTCTCAAGAAAGAACCTCAGAAATTTACTTTAAGATCTTTGTATTATTTTTACATTCTCAAAAAATAAGGCCTAAGTGAGCATATGTGCTCTTAATGCCATGCTGGATTCATATTGGTTAATTACTGTTTTAGGGAATTGCATATTTATTACAGAAAAAGTGACAAGCTAAGACAGGCTCTAGCAAAGATAGAAGCAGTACAAAAACTTTTCACAAAATCTGGACATAAAAGTGTTCTTTGGAAACTCATATGGAAATGGGCAAATTAGAATATTTGTTGAGAAGCTTCTTTTTTTTCAGACTTTCCTGTAAGCACTAGATTTACTTTAAATGCTGCTGCTTTTAGTATACTTTGCATATGAAGACCTGCCTTTTCAAATAGCCCCCAGGATTCTGAATATTTGGCATGGAGAAATTTGGAAACACTTCTTTAATTCTAATTGGGCTTTGCAAATAATGCTGTATCTGACCTACCTTCTTTTGTAGGTAATAAAGATCTCCTAGGGAGATGTTGGAAATCTTCATGCAGAACAAAAAGAGAAAGAATTTACGTAGTAATCATCACATTTTTTTTAAACCAAAATTGAGTACTTTCTCTCCCTTGTTGCCTAGTGGGTCTGAGCTCTGCAGTCTGGTTCATCTGTTTGAAGAGAATAAAACTGGAATTCTGCAGACATTACAGGGGAGGGACAGTGACATTGTTAAAAATGGGGCTGAGATTTTTAGGGGTCACTTGAGGAGTTTAGATAAGCCTGAGACTTAAAGGAAGATTTTTATAAACTTAGCCTTCTCTACCATGGGGTCAGCATCACTGGAGTTCATTGATTATATTGGAGATACACGGGTAATAGATCCATAACTAGATAATACTGTCTCTCCAGTTTCCAAGAAGTAAACATGTTGTTCAAGGAGAATTGTGCAGGAACCTGACTCTCAGGTCAGACCGTCAGACCCTTGTTTTAGGATCCCTAGCATACTGGGCAGATCTTAAACTCTCTTAAAACCTCTGCTGCTTCCTTTGAAAGCAGGCTGGGCGTTCCCACATCTGCCCAGTGCTGCTATTCTCCACAGTGATCACTGGCAACTGGAACGTTTGTTTTTTTTTTTTTTTTCCCTAGCAGTTGCTTGACTTATTCCTGTAGCACATGAAAATGATTTCTACATTTGACCCACCATTCATTAGTTTGTACTACTGCATTTTTTTAACCTAGGTGCAAACAGTAACTTTAATCCCAGGAGATGGTATAGGACCTGAGATTTCTGCTGCTGTCATGAAGATCTTTGATGCTGCTAAAGTGAGTGAACTCAATTTTGAATCAATTCAGTTGTCAAATGTCTGTTGTCTCTTGAAAATACAATCAACTAGATAGCTGTAACAGGTTGAAGGGAGCAGTGTGTATGTGCAATTCTAATGATATCTGTGTATGTGACAGCTAGTATCCAAGTCTATACTGATATATTGCTCATACTATATACTACTAGGCTTTTGAAGTATCTCATGCTTAGTGTTACTCACCAGAGGAAAAAATTGCTTAGGAAAGTGTCAGTAAAATTCCTTATGTACCTATTTGTGGGAGGAAAAGCTGGAAACAAAAGTCATGATATTGAAGCTAACTCAGGACAAATGTATTTAGGCTCCTATTCAGTGGGAAGAGAGGAACGTTACAGCTATCCAAGGACCAGGAGGGAAGTGGATGATACCCCCAGATGCCAAAGAATCCATGGATAAAAACAAAATGGGATTAAAAGGTATTTTAAGGGTCAATACAAAGATACTAAATACTGTTGGTTTGATTGTGAGCCTGATTTAAAAGTCATCTGCAGCACAGTAAAATGCCTAACGATAGGGCCCAGTGTGTCAAATGGTCTTTTGCAGCCTTAAAACAGTCCTTCATTCCAAGGCCATAACTGTCAAAGGTCTTCTAGGAAGGATGTGAAGGAAGGGCATCTTACTAAATACTAATCTGTGGACCATGTGCAGAAAGCATTTCCCGTACTGCTCATAGACAGCAGCTATAATTAAGCTCCTGAAGAGTAGTATCTTCAAACCCTTTACTACTTTCCATTGAAACCTTCTCTAAAAGCTCCTACGTGGAGTCAGGGTCACAACTAGGCCTTCAAACAGCTGATTAATATCAGTGCACACAGTGTGTCTTGATGGCACAGAGAATTCCTGTAGCCTTTCAGCACAACGGTTCAAGGGCAATTTGGAGTTCTCCTGCAGGAGTCTCACAGAATTTTATCTGTCATTTGAGCTCTAAATTTATGGAGGGGCTTATTTGCTCACTTTTTTTTCTTTTTTGTCTGTTGTCTGGTTGGTTTTATTTTGCCTTTAGGGCCTTTAAAAACCCCAATTGCTGCGGGGCACCCATCAATGAATCTGCTGCTGCGCAAAACCTTTGACCTTTATGCGAACGTCCGCCCCTGCGTCTCAATCGAAGGCTACAAAACCCCGTACACGGACGTAAACATTGTCACAATTCGGGAGAACACCGAGGGCGAGTACAGTGGGATTGAGCACGTGGTACGTTACCGGAAACGTCGCGTTGCCGGCAGAGCTGCTGTGTTCCCTCAGCGATAACTTGGCCTGTTTAAATTGCCTGCACTAAGAGGGGTTTTTTTGGTTAAGTTCTCTAGTAATAAAAAAGTTATTTTCTTATGAAGTGCCTTGTGGAGACTACCCAGCTCACAACTCTGATATTTTATCATCCCAAACATTCATACTACTAATTTTAAAATTAAGCTTACACTTTTATTAGCAATATGACCACTGTCTTTCAGATCGTTGATGGTGTTGTGCAAAGTATCAAGCTAATCACAGAAGAGGCAAGCAAGCGTATTGCCGAGTTCGCTTTTGAGTATGCCAGAAATAATCAGAGGAGTCATGTTACTGCAGTGCACAAGGCAAATATTATGTATGTTGACACTTCTTTTGAGAAAACAACAAACAGGAATATGTTTTTAATGATAAATAGCTTCATTAATATGTTTTTAATAATAAATAACTTAATTAATCTTCCTCCAGTGAGTAACTTATGTTCATGCTAGTGGGAGACCTTTCGACAAGGGGGTGAATGTGTCTAGTAGTTTTCTACTGCAAGCTTGAAACAGCCCTCGTTTCAAGACTATAACTATGAAGGGTCTTCTGGAAAGCATGTGAAAGAAGGGCATCTTACTGGAATGCAGGAAGCATTTCCAGTGCAACTGATAAAGAGTAGTTATGACATAATTTTACTCCCAGTGAGTAGCATCCTATTATTTAAAAAAATTTAAAAGCACTTAAAGGATTTTTAAATATCTAGCTTCTATTATTTATATATAACAGAAGGATTACTAATTAAGGGGTTGCCAATTAAGTTTCTGTGCTCTAGTATTTCTATTCAATCCACTGTTGCATGCAGTCATATTTATCTTCAGTATTGCTTCCTTTCAATACCCATAATATTCTCTTGCTTATTAAATTGCAGGAGAATGTCTGATGGGCTTTTCTTGAGAAAATGTCGTGAGGCAGCAGAAAACTGTAAAGATATTAAATTTAATGAAATGTACCTGGATACTGTGTGTCTGAACGTGAGTATTTACCAGTTTAAGCTCTTTTAAACATTTTGTTTTTTAACTTGATCTTAATAAAAGCATACTTCTTTCTAGATGGTTCAGGATCCATCACAATTTGATGTGCTCGTTATGCCAAATTTGTATGGTGACATCCTCAGGTACGGAGAGTTCTTTTTAACTAAGCGAGCGTGTAAAAGACTGTTAAGTTTCCAGAGTGTAGCTTATATTCTGGGGAGATGTGTGACTCTTTTCTGCATCCAGAACGCTCCGAGAGTGTTCTAAGATCTTTATTAGCATTTTCAGCTTCGTGGGTGTTGTATGATAACTTCTGGCTTTGTGGGTTTGTTCTTCCCACTAATTCTTCCTAATTTGAAGGAATTTGGACCTGTGAAGGAATTTTGGACCAGTAAGGAGAGGGGGATAACTATTCGGGCACCACTTCCTTACTTCTATTTTACATCACATACTCCTTAAGTTACATATAATACATTTTAAATCTACTCATAATTGTCTGAGCATAATTTGGCATGTTTTTAGAAGGCCGTTACATATGAAGGTAGCTATGTCATATCTCCAGGGGGAGTAAGACTTTTGGATAGTTACAAGGAACTTATGTTGGAATTGTTACTAGATTTTGAGACTTCTGAAAGTATTTTTGAGTACCTTTTGTGCTTGGTTTGGTCTCTTTATTCTAGAACTTGGAATTTCCTTTTATTTTTTCTTTATTAAGCTCTTCTTTTCTGCTGGTAGTTCCACTGACAAGTTTAAAATGTTCTAATGGAGTACAAGTGCCTTACAGTATCTGCTCTTTTCCCAGTATTATCCTTAAAGTGGTAAAGTCTTAGAGCAGTAGGTTGATAGATAAAATAAGCTAAGTTATTGTTGCAATGAAATGCATGTAATAACAAAGTACACACAGATACTTTAATACCTTGTTGAAGGGCAACTGCATGTGGATTTTTTCCCCAGTGACTTATGTGCTGGACTCATTGGGGGTCTTGGAGTAACACCAAGTGGAAATATTGGTGCTAATGGAGTTGCAATTTTTGAATCGGTAAGTTATGTGAGGTAAAATAGTAATAATTATTTTGTCTTGACTTGAGAACTTAAAACTTGTCATAACATGCCTGTAATTTAACTAAGTTCTCTGTAAAACCTTCTTTTACTGTGAAGATGCTGAAACTTTACACAGAGTGAGTTGTTAGATCATGTAATACATGTACATTTTCCATGTGCTTTTACTGACCCTTTGTTTTTTCCCTTTTGGTAAAATAAACACCCTCTGTAATAGAGAATGTGAGAGCCACAATTGGGAGATGTTTGGTTTCTGCTTCCTATTTCCACTGAGGCACATTAAGATGATCTAATTCCCCTTCCCAATTCCTTTGTGAATTGTTCTGCTCTTTTCTGTCTCCTTTTAGTGAAGTAAATCCTGTTTTCATATGCTTGCGCATGAGAAGTGGCTTAACATATTGAATTGCTTATGGTGTTTCAAACAACATACCGACTTTATAATAGAGAGGCTCACTCTTACCTCTAGGTTCATGGAACCGCTCCAGACATTGCTGGAAAGGACCTGGCAAATCCAACTGCTCTTCTTCTGAGTGCCGTAATGATGTTGCGTCACATGGGACTGCACCAGCATGCCACGAAAATTGAAACAGCTTGCTTTGATACAATCAAAGATGGAAAGGTAATACAGGGGTGTACAAATACATGCAATGAATTAGAATCATTCTTTCACAGGAGAAAAAAAAAAAAAAAAGGAACTTTAGGCCATGAAAACAAGACAGAGATGCCCTTCTGTGCTGGCGTGAATCAGGGGCAGTGCCACAGGAGCAGAGACCGAGATTCCTTTCTCCCTGGTAACAGCCAGTATCTGACCTGTGGCGGGCTCAGGTGTGCCCAGCTCAGTAACAGGGATGCATTCCTTGTAGCATTCCTTGTGTTTCAGTTAGCCTTGTCTCTCATATCCATGGCTTTTGTTAAATATAAAAGCTAGAACTGTATCTCTGTTTTTCAGGAAGGGAACTGGACATTTAGATAACAGTATTTCATTTCTGAAGTTTATGATATATATAAAATTTATATATTGAAATTTGGATCTTGAAGCAAAGGGCACTTATTTGCCTTTTACGGGTATAATCACCTGTGTCTATAGCATGAATATAAATATTTATAAATATTTTTTTGGTTTGTGACCTGAAGCCTGACCTGATCCTGAAGCATGTTGTTAAAAGAGGATCAGCAGTTAGCTACGTTGGTGCAATTACCTGGGGCAGGAGCATAAGAAGCTGCTTTGTAATTAAAAGTAACAAGCATGCTTAAATGAAAAGCTGTCATTTTTTCATAAGTGGTCTGTTTGCAGCTATCATACTGCATGTAGCAGCCAGTTAAAAAAAAAACTCTAAACTTACAAGTGAATAAGATAAAGTGCCCATTTACTGCTCTGGAAATGAAATCCTCCATCTGCAGGTCAGTAATTCTACAGAAGATAACACAGTGCAAGTTTTGTGCCATGGCTACTTGTTCACTAGTTGCTTAAAATTTTATGATTATATGTTCAAGATGAAAAAGAACGTTTTTAAATAGAAAACAGCAATCTGCAGTTGAAACAACACTATCTTATAATAGCAACCTTTTTTGCCTCCTGTGCCTGCAATTCCTGTCCTCCACTTCCTACCTCCCCTGTGCCATGCAAGAACTGCGTGCATGTGTGTCTTATAGGGGGAAAACTAATGATTTAAATTTACCTCTTAAGACTGCTTCACTCTTGCTAGGTTGGACAAGGAATCTTGTTACCTTTTTTATTACTTATCTATCTTACTGTCCTTTTTGCACCAGAATTGTACTTGATCAACAAGTTTCTTTAACTCTTAACTAAACTAAGCAAACTTAGAGAACTGCTAACGTGCAGCATTTCAAGACCTGTCTGTACCCTTTTTCCATGTAGGCTTCCTTTTAAAAACAGCAACAACAAAATTAATTATACTTTGGCTGTTACTTGCCTTTGCATTGAGTCTTCATCTAAATTTGATCTCCAAAGGACAAACCTTTTATGAAAAATCAACTACTTTCAATTAAGTGCACTTCTGTGGCGCTAAGAAATTTTAAAAGCTCTGGCCAAGTTAAGTTTCTTCCTAACTGGAGTGAAGGTAACAGGATGCTGAAATGTTAACACTCTGATAACATGGCACTTGCTGTTCATAGCCACTTTCTCTGCATACTCTAGTTTTCATAGCTCATGTTGATAGAAGCTGTAAGGGATGCAGAGAGTCTCAAAACTTGATATCTCCTTTTTATCCATATTTGGTTCCCATGTAGTACATATAAAACTGTTGAGGCAAAAAAGGGCCACATTAAACACTTCAATAACCTTGTTCCTTCTTCCTTCAGGTCTTGACAAAAGACTTGGGAGGTAACGCCAAGTGTTCGGAATTCACAGAGGAGATCTGCCGCCGAGTACAGGACAAAGACTAAACTTTGCTCGTGCTACTTGGAATAACTCCTAAAGGATACATCGCACAGAGTACACTATATGTAACCCGATGTCCATATACATATACCTTACCTCTTTCTTCAGAGAGTAAACTTTTTAGTTAGGGCCTCTCCATTAATAAATATGGCCCCAAGGCTATAAATGATGCTTGTGCCTGCTTTCAGTGGACTTTTCTAAGTGCTTTGTCTTATTTATTTGTTTTGATCTGGTGACTTTTTTTTTAATGTCTAGGTGAATTATTTCATTGTAACTGTCTACCATTTTGCTTTTCAATTATAAGTGGATTTTACTTTCCAGGAAGAAGAATGTGTAAATATAGTAACAGAATTGGTGAATTGTAAAGGCACCTTAATGCTCAAAACCTACTTTATTGGTCTCACTGAAATGTAAAAGATAGGTTTTCAGCCTAATAATAGCACAAAATAATCTTTATAAAAAGAAACGGGTATAAAAAAATAGCAATTCTGTGTTAAAAGCAATGAAGAAAATTTTAGGTGCTCTGGTGATCCATGAAATAAACTTTGTTCTCCAAGGACATAAAGAAATGAAAAAACCTATAGACTTTATGCCTGTTTAAAAACAAAAGCTAACAAAAAACAGAACCGAGCTAGAGATGAGAAATAATGTTAAATTATTTTTCACAGCTAACTATCCAAGTAATTCTTGTGGGTTTTCTTCTCTGAAACATAGAAACATTTACTACAGAGTTCTCCTAATGAAGAGTAAATTATACAAATTTATTTCTGCTATGTATTGTGAGGATGGAAGTATTAACTTTGCCAATTTATACAGAATATTTCATTCAGCATTCAAACTTGACCTGAAATGCTTTTTGTATCATATTTTGCTTTTATGCATAGTCTGTTCAATGTGTCTTACTGTATTGGCTAGGAAATTTAGTCTAGAAACCCTGAATGTAATAGACTAATCCTAAAGGGATTAAGAGAGGTTGAAAGTTGGGCTCTGGTGTGCAGGTTCCAAAATACTTTTCATCCCTATTCCAGGGAATCTGAGACTTTCTTCTGCTACTGAAGCTTAAGGAGAGCAAAAGGAACTTTTTCCCTCCCTTTTTTTTAAATCACATATCAGTGATAGAACCATGAGTCATTCTCACCTGGATGACTTGAGATATGCTTCTGTTCGTTAGTCCCGCCAGAAAATGCACATTTTAAAATTCCTGGTAATAGCACAGGAGTATAACTACTGTCAGAACTGGCTTCTTAAAGCTTAATTCTATTAACAGATATTACTCCACTTTGTTACAACTACTGTTACAACTGTTAAGGCTAGTTGTTGAAGTAAAATCCCTCTGACTTCATCTAATGTCACTCCATAATGTAAGCATCCCAACCTTGTACACAGTCTAACAGCACAGGGAAATGAGCTTTTTTCCCATGTGCACTCTGTGCGTGGTTAATAGGGAAACATTTCCTTCTGTGGGATACAAAAGATCGTGGTCTCAAACAGAATCTTAGCTGATTTTGAATGCATATACTGTTGCTGCTGCTTCCATGTTTCCTTTAGATTATTCTAGTTAAAGACATTCTGAGTTACATTACGCACAAAATGGAGAAAAAAAATAAAGACTTTTTCCAAGTCCTAGTGCTTGTTTTGTCTTTTGTAATCCTAGGCTGCTGTCTTGGCTGATTCTTTGAGCTGACTGCAGTGAGCTTTAAGTTGTGTCATTTTACTCAAGAATAGCAGTGTAGCCTGTGTGCTGGGGTTAGCCACTACAGCTCTGCCAAAGATCACTTACAAAGAGCAGACTCTTTAGAGCTTTTAGACAGCTTTTAATAATATATAATAATATCATGCAATTAATTAAAAATTTTGATAAAGAAATGTACTTCACATTTCTCACACCATGATGTGAATATTGAAACGTAAGAGTTGCAAAAAAGGAACAAGCTTGTATGTTCCCAAACACATTACAAAAAATAAATGCCATAAAGACAATTTTAAAGATTTTTATGTTCTAAATAGCACTTTATGTTAGAGCTCCTGTATTTGCTGCTTTTTATTTTTTCGTCTCAGGGAGCTATTCTCCAATCTTTCTTTGTATGTTGTTAGGGAAAAGAGTAATGCTTATTTCAACATGAATTTCAGAAATGAGCTGTTGCATTCAGTTTCTTTGAAGTCCAGCCATGAAAAGCAGAGGCTCACATGCTTTTAGGCTCTGATTTTTTTTTAAGAGAACAAAAATACACATTTGAGGGAGAATAGGCCCACAGCTCTTTTAATAATAACCTTTATCCCTATTCAATAGCATTTTGACAGTATTGTTAACCAGTGATCTACCAAAACAGAACATGAGTTACAGGCAGTCTTTTGCAGACAACAACAAAAAAGCAGTGTAATAGTTTTCAGTCTAGATTTTCAGTCTAGATGAATTGGTTATAGCCATTTAACACATTAAGATGTTTTTAACTTTCTTTATTTAGGACCTAATGGAAAATCAGCATTAGAAAATAGCTTATACTCTTAGGAAATATATATTCAGCCTGCCTAGCAGGTAAGTGTCAGGAGAGTAACTAAATTAACACAGCAGTTCTCAAGTGCATCAGTTCAACAAACTGCAAAACCAAAACAGAAGCACAAATCTTCCTTCATTAATGGTATTGATTAGGAGATTATTTAGCTCATAGATCTTATTTAATGCTTGGAAGAAATGCTTCTTTACTCTTCGTAGAAGGAGTCTACTTCATCTCTGTATTTCTCGAGCACGGCGAGACGTTTTAACTTCATTGTCGGACCTTAAAAAGTTAGTCACAGTAGCAGAAATCAGAACAAAAACTCCTACCTCATTTGTGCTTTGGGTCATGATGTCCCAACAGGCACTTTAACACAATGTCTGTTACTCTGGAAGTATCTGCTTAAAGTGAGATCATAGAATCACAGAATGCTTAAGGTTGGAAGGGACCTCTAGAGGTCTTCTAGTCCAACCCCCTGCACATGCAGGGTCACCTAGAGCACGTGGCACAGGACTGCATCTAAGTGAGTCTTGAAAATCTCCAGAGAAGGAGACTCCACAACCTCTCTGGGCAGCCTGTTCCAGTGCTCTGTCACCC